GGAAATTAGGAATGAAGGGGCTTTCTGAGGAGACACGCGTCCAAGGCATTTATAGTTATGTGGAGGCTTTAGATCGTAGCATTCAGTTAAGAGTCTCATATAGTAAGATGGTATATGATTGTGAGTTCCGGTTTATGGGATTTGTTAATTTTACAAAATTCTTTATAAAATAGAGGAACCAACACGAGAATTTGGAATTATTTTAGTATTTTTAATGTGCTTTCTATTGTTATTCCAGTTTTCTAGCAAATCGTCTCAAGTTTTCTTCTGTTATTCCAGTTTCCCTTTTGATCTCTTTGCATTCTATGAAATTCTATTGTTTTTCCTTGCAATTGAATTTGTTGAGTCACAACAGAAGAAAACTGGAACATATAAAATGTAACAAACACTTTACGAAACATCACAAACTATGAAATTAAAAGCTTTTATTCTCACCCCAGCAATGCAGTGGACTTGAATCCTGCAAATTTCAAAAATGAAGAATTAAAGTTAAAATCTTTAAGGATGAAGGAGGTGGAAAATTTATGAATATAAATTAAGTTGAATACCTGGAGGTTACATACTAATGTCTTTTCTTGTGCTTTTTCATTCTTGTAAGAATTTTGTGTTCCAATTCTACATCCATCCTCGAGAGGTGGAAAATTTATGAATATAAATTAAGTTGAATACCTGGAGGTTACATACTAATGTCTTTTCTTGTGCTTTTTCATTCTTGTAAGAATTTTGTGTTCCAATTCTACATCCATCCTCGAAAACCATGTTGGATATTGAGTTGACAGCATTATGTATATTATGGACAGTCCAATAACAAGTCCACAACCGTAGCCCATGAGAACCGCCTGCCAACTGATCATTGATGAATCTCCTCCTTCTTCTTTATCTAGCTCAACTGGATTCGTCGTTTGTGCTACCCCTTCATCACCGCCACAATCTTTTGAGAGTGGCAATCCACGTAACCCATCATTCCCTTGGTATGAACTATTCTCAAACGTATCAAATTGTTTTCCTTTGGGGATGCATCCAACAAGATGATTGTGAGAGAGATTTAAGACTTCAAGTGATTTGAGGGATGCAAGTTGGTTTCCTATACTAAAAGTAGTATTAATTGCCCCGCTAAGACTATTGTTGCTTAAATCCAAAGCCTGAAGTTCACTCATCTCACCAAAACATAGTGGGATTGTTCCCTCCAAATTATTGCTCCCCAAATTTAGCACTTGTAGTGATGTCAGATTACAGACAGTTGAATCAATCTGTCCACTGAGATTATTTCGTGAAAAGACAAGAAATTGTAGGCGCTGCTGGTTTAGGAGTGACTTTGGAATAGGACCTTGCAGCTGATTTTGTTTTAGAGAAACCACTATAAAGGAATTTGTGTAATAAATATCTGCTACATACTCTCGGGTTCCACTTTTCTCACCATTTATTTTCATAGCTTCAAAATTCTCAAAAAGGCCCACTGGTAAATCTCCAGTAAATCCATTGGATGAGAGATCTATGATTCGAATTTGAGCAAACTTGTAAGTTGATGAATCTTTTATAGAGCCAACGAACTTATTTGATCTCAGTCTTAGAATCTTCAGATTCTGTAGAGCTCTCAACCATTTAGGAAATGTGTCATTCAACTCATTGTTACCTAAATCAAGAAGTTCCAAATATTTGCAATTGATCAAAGATTGCGGAACTTTCCCCTCTAGCTTATTCCCGTCAAATTTAATGACTATTAGTTGGTTTCCTATACTAAAAGTTGTATTAATTGTCCCGCTAAGACTATTGTTACTAAAATCCAAAATCAGAAGTCTAGTCAACTCACCCAAACATAGTGGGATTGTTCCCTCCAAATTATTACTGCCCAAATCTAGCACTTCTAGTGTTTTCAGATTGCAGATGGTTGAAGCGATCAGTCCACTGAGATTATTGTGCGAAAGGACAAGAGAATATAGATCACGCTGGTTTAGGAGTGTCTTTGGAATAGGACCTTGCAGCTGATTTTGTTTTAGAGAAACAATATCCAATATTTTAGACTTGAACTCCTGAATGTTTCCACTGAAATGGTTATCACTCAAGTCTAAATCATATAGTGAAGGGAGGGAGAATATCCATGATGGTATAGTCTCATTCAAGTGGTTTGATGACAAGTAGAGAAATTGTAGGTTTTGCATTCCGCTTACATTAGAAGGAATTGGACCTGTTAGGGAATTTAATGAAAAATCTAAGTACTCAAATTGCGTCAAGCTTCTGTTAAAGGATAAGAACTCAAGTTGGCCATCCAAGTTGTTATTTACAAGTGACAACGACCTGAGTTTTCCAAATCTAAAGAGATCAGAAATGGGTCCTTCAAGATGGTTATAACCAAGGTTCAAATCCTCTATGTTGGTGAGATTCCATAGAGATTTAGGAATAGACCCTGAGAGACTACAAGAATACAACTCTAATGTACGCATTGTAGTTAGATGACCAAATGATTCAGGTATCCTACCAGTAGCATTCACACCACTGAGATCTAACTTCACAAGTGATGCACTGCTATTCCATTTGGTTGTGGGAAACCTAACAGTGAGCTGGGGATTGTCTGATAAATCAAGAGATTCCAAGTTGGAAAGGTGGAAAACTCTTTCGGTCAATACCCCGTATAACTGTGTAAATGGAAGCCATAGAGTAGTTAAATAAGAAGATAAATTTAGAGGAATGGTGGAAGAGATGTTCACATAGACAAGGTAGAGCTCTCTTAATCGGGTCAAGTTCTTAAGGATCAGTTCAAAATTGTGAGGTTCGAATCTAATCTCATATGGATCACTCTTGATACTAAGAAATTGTAATTTAGAAAGACGAGAGATTTCTGCTGGGATTAGACCTGCAAATCTTGAATCCGACAAATCAAGATGCGTCAAACTAGAAAACTCACCAAATTTTGGCGAAATGTACGATCCAGAGAAGTTATTATTAGACAAATCAATCCTTTTGAGATTGGAGAGTTGAAAGACACTACTGTTGGAGTGAAACTTGCCTTGAAGTTTGCTGCAAGTGAGGTTAAGCTCAATCACTTGTCCTGTCGTCTCGTCACAATAAACTCCATCCCAAGAGCAACAATCTGTGCTCTTGTTCCACGAAAGAGTTTTTGGATATGACTGAATCGATTGGCCTGTTATGTGGAAACAACGATCAAAAGCATCATGATTTATTGTAAACATGTGCTTGAATTGTAGAAGAGCAAGAGCTTGATCTTTGGTGCACAAATGAGGTAAGGATGAGGAGAAAGAAAGATGGCAGAGGAAGGGAAATAGCATAAAAAATACAAGGTTTACGTAGCCCATTGTTGCACTAAAATGTTCAAAAACTCTTTGTTTCTTCCTCTATTCAATAAGGTATATATAGCACAAATTAAGCAAATAAATTCAAATTTAGTGAGGTCAGTTGTATATGCAGAGTCTTTGGTGATGTTCCAATGAAAAAGAGTATTAGTTGGTGCATAGACCTTGACCAAAACATTTCCAATTTTATTTTGATTGGTTTGGTCATATGCACAAAGGTTACTTTTTCTTTGGAAAAAAAAAAGCCTAATAAATTGGGGAATCTATGATAAATTTTATAAGTATATGAGTGAGAAATAAATTTGCCAATTATAATATTAAATTCAAAAACCTATTTTTTCTTAAAATATAAATAAAAAATTAAATAAAAATAAATTTAAAATAAAACTTTCACTTCCGTTAGACCAAATGTGAGCTACCTTTGTAACAATAATTATATCAACTCTACATTGCAAAGGTAAAAATTCACAAAAGTTTTGATTAATTAGGATAAGTGTATTGTTTGGTGTATGACAACAACATTTCAAGTTTAACCATTTTTTATTGAATAACAATATCATGCTCAATTAAGGTTACCATAATTAATTGGCTTTAAATGATGTGATGGTATAATATCGATTAAATGTGTGAAAATGTGCGGATGTTTCATGCACCGAACTTTCAAAATAAAAGGTGTTTTAATCACTAATATTATGTCATTCATTAAGAAAGAACGAACACTTTATGGAACCTGTAATTTCCAAAAAAATAATTAAAGAATATATTAAGTAAAAATATTTGAGGTAGCAAACACTTGTAATTAAACTAATGAGAAAAATCTCAAAGTCAATGCACAGGTCTTGCACAAAAATCCAAATGTAATAATACAATTTTTTTAATCACTAGTAATAATACAGTTTTGTTTGATTCCTTATCAATGGAATTATCACAATCACAACTTTCTGCAAGTAGTCCTAACCCAACTATTACGCAATGTGGAATTTTGCTCCTTGAGAATATTATCTTCTGACCCTATTATTAATAATTCTTCTTGAGAATACTAGCTTCTTCTTTTTTGATTTGTCATTCATTGTCTGATACACACTTTAAAGTCCGACTATTTTAAACTCGTGTCGTGCACCGTGTAGAGCCCCATTTGGTGGGGGTGGGGGTGGGGGAACGCTCTCTACCAATGATTTTTTTATATCCAAGGTTCAAACATGAGACTTTTGATTAAGAGAGGAGAAACTGCATCCACTGCACTACATCCGTTGGTGATGACAATATTAACTTTAACAATTGGGAACAATTATGTAATCAATTTAAATTGGGAGAAGGCATAACCCCTTGAACTATAACCGAAATTACAGGGACACACCCTATATTTACGGAGGTCCTATTACTCCCCCCCTTATGTGCTGACGTGAAATCATAACTCGATTCAATTAGCTACTGTAGTTTTTTTTTTTCTTTTTAAAAATCTTCTTGTTTTATTTGCCTTGTTTATAAAATAAGCTGACACATATAATATTTTTTTATTTTTCTTTGCCTTGTATTTAAAATTTTCTCAAACATACGTAATTACGTATGTTTTTCATTTTTTTCTCCTTTTTCCTATTGATTTTATTTATATCTTTTATTTTCATTGTCTTTCCTTTGGATTTAATCTTTCAAATTTAATTTCGAATGTCTGGTATTAATATAAGCTAATTTTGGATGGATACAAGAAAAAGTGAAGGAAATCAAATAAAACATAAAAAAATTTAAGCATTAAAAATAAAAGAATTATTTTAAAAAAAAATATGTAAATGAGAATATCAAATTTAAATACATGTCATAATTACTTATAACCAATTAAATTCTTCTCAGAGCGAGAATAATCTATAAGAGTATTTATTGGTGTATATGCCTTGAAAATAGATTTTCACGCCAATAAATCAAAGAGAGTTTGATTATTTAGGATAAGAATACATTGATTGGTGTATACTGTTGAGTTCGAAAGTGATTAGGGCGTCATGTGGAAACTTACAATTGCAAATTAAGATGGTGATAAATTAGATGAAAAAACTTAAACAAAAAACATAATATTATTATATGAAAACTAATATAAATAAAAATATTGAAGAGATTAAATCTCCCCATAAACAAAAAATTTAAACATCTACATTGTGGATGCTATTGTGTTATGCTTTGAGAATATGAATCTTCAATTTATAGATCTCCAAAAATTTTCTCTAAGAAAAGAATAAACCAAATATGGAATAAAATTATAATTTCCATATTATAATTGAAAAAAGTTTAAGCATTTATGGTAATACATTGACTTTTCTTTAAGGGAAAAAATTAAAGTTCAAATAATGTAAGAAAATCAAGGCAAAACCCTAACATAAAAACAATTTTCAAGTTGAAAATTTTGATTGGTTGGGATAAGAGTGTTATGCATTGTTTGGTTTGATGCATTAAAAATAGCATGCATTGCATAAAATAAATTATTTACAAAGATACCCTCCACACTATTATGGTGGAAAAGATGTAAAAATGATTTTGAGAGGCAATTGGGTCATTTATCATGTTAATGCGTGCATTAAAATCATTGCATTGCTAATACCTAGAAATTCATGGTATTAACAATGCACACCTTACTATACAATAGAGTGTATAACTAATGCAAGTTGGAAAAGAGTACCAAACAAGGTGCTAGTAATATACAAGGCTAATACATGCATTATTTTTTCTAATACGCTCTACCAAACGACCCCTTAGTGTATAACATTGATCTAAAGGTGAAGATTCACAAAACTTTTGATTAGTTAGGATAAGAGTATTGCTTGGTGTATAGACCTTGACAAAAACATTTCAAGTCAAAAATTCATTTTTTATTAGTTAGGATAAAATTGTTCTTTGGTTTATGCACCATATTGTATATTAACTTGACGATGATCAAACTTATATTTTAATAATTTAATAAATTTACATATTACCAAGTCAATGCACGAGTCATTGCAAAGAAAAGTTCAAATAAAAACTACAACAAAAAAATTCTATCACAAAAGTGGCGCATATATACCTCTACTGTAACAAAAGTGGCTCACATTTATTCCTCTCACTATAAAAGTGACTCACATATACATTTTCATCTAACGAAAGTGGAAAAAATAACTTTTAATTATATTTTTTGATTTTTTATTTTAGGGCAAAGGGGTAAATATACCCCTCAACTTTGCAATTTCGAGCAGATATACTCATAATTAAAAAGTGATACATATATACCTCGATAGTACAACAAATGGTGCATATATACCCTCATCGTTTAATAAATTATGTACATTTATCCTTTTCATTAACAGACTGATTTAAAAAAAATATCTTAAAACTTGTTTTTAAATTCCAAAAATACCACGTGGCTTAAAAAATTAAGGAAAATTAACATAATTAGACATAATTAACTACAAATTTCTTATAAATAAAAACTACCATATATACATATTTTTCCTATAGTTTAAAAATTATTTCTTATAATATCACTGTCACTCCCCGAGCCTACACTCCGGACGTGGCTGGCACTCGAGAACCATTGCTGGCCCCAAGCGAACCCTTAGCCTGACTTACTTATCCAGCGACTCTAAGCATTATTACAATGATCAAATGCACTTTACTCAATTGTTTAATAAAATAACTAAGAATGTTTAAAGGTCAACATTCAACTTGGCCAAAATGGCAACTCAAGTCTTAACATATGAAATAATAATGTAAAGACAACTGAACTAATAACTGTCTGACTGTCTATGAAGCCTCTAAAACAAATAGGGATGTCAGGACAAGACCCCCGATGATCCTAACAATGAAATACGAAAAGCGAAATAAAAGGAGTCTTCTGAAATGCAAGGAGGTTCACCAACTGACTCTGAGTGCTCAACTGGATCAACGAGGAGTTGGGTGATGATCCTGGTTACCTGCATCTGCATCATAAAACAATGCAGACCAACTGGCATCAGTACATTAAATGTACGAGTATGCGAGTTGGAATGCTAAACATAACATAGGCTTAAAAAGAATCTGAAAGAAACACTTACCTTGACTCTTCTCAACTCATGAATAACTTAACTCAATAGAAAGCAGTAAAACACATACAATATATGTAAAGCTTGTATAACAGTGGAAAACAACTTAGTTCGTTAAAGAAAATGCAATAACAAACTAAACTTTATTCATATAATAAAGTAATATAGTTTTTGTGAGAGTTTCTCTAACTGACAACCACCACTATGAGCCTAAGTGGTGATACATCGTCTTGTCCATGCTGCCAGAACTGTCCTATACTTTGCCGTCATATAAAATGCCTTAACTAAGTGGATCCACTAGTCTATGCTACAAAGCACACTTAAGGATTCATCTAAAAAGTATGATCGTTTACTACCCATGATGGCTACATGGTTTATGAAGACTTAAGTTAATATGAACTAGTATCCCCATATCGGTGCTCAATACTACTCCCAAAATATACTCAGCTCATATGTTTTAAAAACAAAACTCTTTCTGTGATTTGAGATAATTACTCAAAAATACTCCCAAAATATACTTAGCTCATATGTTTAAAACAAATTTCTTTCTTTGGTTTGAGATAATTACCCAAAACTTAGATTAAAATCTCTCTTGGAAATCGGTGTTTCCCTTTCTTGTTCAAATGTGAAAACATTACTCTTTAACTGAAAACTATAGCTCAAAGGCTCTTTTGAAAATTAAGGTTTCCTTTCTTCTTTAAATGTGAAAACATTT